CAGCCCGGGGAGGTGCGGGGCCCGAGCAGAGACGGGGTGGCGCGCAAGCACCCCGGGTCACGCGGGAAGCATCCCGGGGACCCTCTCCGCGGCGGTGGGGGCGCCCCGGGCCGGGAGTGGGCCTAAATTCGTGGAGACTCGGTCCCCCCCTGTCTGGAACCGTGGACCGGGGAACTTGGGGTCTTTGTCTGGCTGGATGGTCGGAGCACGCGATGAGAAGTCGTAGGGGCTGCTGTTTGCCGACACGGCCCCCCGAACTGTGCTGTCCACCCCACAGCGCGCGCGCTCCTAGCCTTCCCGGGCCTGCGGGACGGGTGGCCCCGTTAAGAACCGCGTGTCAGGAAACTCACTTCCTTTAGGCCCAGGTTCTTCCCCCTTGTTCTTTACTTTAGAAGAAAGAAGAATAGAAAAAAGGAGAAAGAGAAAAATAGGCAATTTAAGGTCGCTAAATATAACCTAAAGAGCCCTGCCAGAAGCCCGTGAGTCTTGAAATCCTGTTATTCCCACGCTGGGAAGTCGGTGTCCTATGTTGGCCACAATCTAGTTCAGATTCTTTTCAGAAATAGAAAAGGGCAGGATCCCGTCTCTTTCCTGGGGAGAAGTTTGTTTCTCTGGAGTCTGGGACAATAGGCCAGCCCCTGTGACCGGCCCTCGCTTGCTCTGCCATGGGAAGAGGGAAGGGGTTCTCAAAAAAAGGCCAAGTGATGCGCACATCATCAGAGGGCCCCACCGGGCCCAAGGCCCAGATCCCAGAATTCTCTCCTGTCACGGATTGAGGAGAACACTTTCAAAACTCTCGTTTGTTTTAGAATTTCCTCATTAGAAACATTAACATTTAATTGAGTATTAAACACTTTTAAAGAACCTTTTAAGAAGCTTTTGCAAAGAAAGGATCATTAAGGTGAGGAATGCCTTTTAGTAGTAATTACCAAGTTCATTATCAGGCCGGTGTGTTCCGCATCACTTGTTGGCTTGTGGGCATTTATGGAGACCAGAGCCTCAGAATATGCCAAGGAAAGATTTTATCAGGAGCCATTTTTAATCCCCCATGATCATGGTTGTTATGTAAATAGCTTCTGATTACCATGCATGAATTCGCTTAACCCACAAAACCCATAAAGTCAAGACTGAAATTATCCTCATTTTATAGATGGGGACACTGAGGCTGAGAGAAGTAACTTCCCCAAGTTCATGCAGCTAGGAGTGACAGAAGTAGGGGCCCAGGATGCTCCAGCCCCAAGAAACGACTGAGCCACACTACCTCCCCTGTTGTGACTGGCCTCTGTCATTCACAGGCGCACACGCTCCTGTCTCTCTTTGTGCAGACAAGACGACAGGGTCGGCTCTGCCAAGGGATTCATAAAAATGCAAAGGAATGGGACCAATTTCATGTCACCACTAGTGGCTGATATCTGTCGTCTGCAGAGGGCTTCCCAGGCCTCCGATCGTGCTGGCCTCTCTGCCCTGGGTTTTGGGTAGCTCAGTGCGGAGGTTAAAAACATGGCCTCCGAAGTAAGTTTAATGGAGATAATACAGCCAACTCAAAGGCCTGTTGCAACGATGATCTAAAGCGTCTAGTACCTGGAACCGCTACGGGCTCGTTACTGTTTGTTACTGTTACTATGGACCGCTATTTGGATTTTCACCTGTAACTAGATGGGTAAAAACATTTGTGTTTTGTTTTTTTCGATTCTTCGTATGTGTGGTTCATCAGGTGGAAAGTTAATCATTAGCAAAAGCGTAATTCTCCACTGAGGTATATTTACACACTCTCGTCTTTGTAACCTCGTGGGGCTTGCGGGAGGCCTGGGTCCCTGCTGGCTATTCTAGGGATGAGGGGTGGGGTGAGGGGGGGGGTGAGTGGGTTGCCTGGCAACAAATCTTGAGTAGATAGATATTTTACCGTGTCCCCCCCCAGCCGTGGGACCCTACTTTTTCACAGGCCTTAATCCTCTCTTGTAAGATCAGCTACTTAGTTTGATACAATGTGTGTGTGTTGGGGGGGTGACGCTTGCAGGTGAAGCAGGGTAGAGGTCAGTTTTGTTGGTGTTCATTGTATCTACGTTGTTCTGGGCTCCGGCAGGTCCTGCATAAAGTTGCAGGGCCTTGAATAACATTGTTTCATTCAACTGTTTCATTGTAACACTGATGAGACTCCTGGGAACCTAACTGTTTACATCAATTAGCCTATGGCAAAATGAGTTTTGTTGTTGGTCATTTGCTTAAAAGTCACAGAACCTACCTATGATGTTTCATGAGAACTTGCTGTATTTGCGTTCCGTCAAACGTTGATGAGTCCAGTGCCCAGAAAAGAAAGCACAAGTCTGTCCTCTTCCCCCGACCCCGCAAAAAAAAAAAAGAAAAAAAGGAAAAAAAAAATTGAGGGGAAACGCTGTGGGAAGTTTTTTCCCCTTCACTTTAGTGGGGTGTTTTTGATGCTGTTGGCCACCTGTGCGTCCTTCGGGCACCTGGTCTTGCATCTCTAACAAATCCACTTTGATGAGCTGTCTGATATCTGGTTTGTGATCTGAAGCTTATCCTCTGCCTTCTGAGGAGGAGAGAAGCTGGGCTGAGAAGCTCAGGCGTACGGCTAGCACGAGGTAGGGAACAGCGGGAGCCCCAGCCCGTCGTCCCGTCTGAGCGGCTGCCCTTCTCTGGCAGAGCTGGGGACGGCGAGTGTGTCCGGATGTCTAATGGCAAATGCAGGCGTGGCGACGTGGCGCGTCTTCTCCGTGCTCTTCCTGGATTGGCCACTGTCAAAACCACCGTGATAACCTGGGCGCACCGGAGCCCGGGTCCACGCCGGCCTGCACGCTTTGGGTTCGGTGCTTCTTTACACACCGCGTGACCCTGAATTCAGTAGTCTGACAAAATGGTCATCACTCTCTGGCAGATCTGGAATTGGGGCAAAGGGCATACTTGACGGGTGTCATTTTTGACACCTTTTCGGTTTTCAGGTTCTGTAACTAAATGCTCTCCTTAGACGAGATGGACCGTGTAGCTGTTCAATGCATCTTTTCCCCCCATCGGATTTTTGTTTGGTGGTGCAAGGCTCCGGCTTTGCCACAGCAGTGAGAACCTCGGCGTCTTAAAGTTTACAGGGGCGATCTAGCAGTCAATGCGCCTTGGGCGGTTTGGGGGCGGTTGTCGGTTTCCTGGCTGGATTGGCATCTTTCCCTGCCTTTTCGGATGAGTCCTTCCTTGGTCCCCAGGCCTGGCTCGTTTTTAAAGTCGATTTCATCTCCCAGGACCTACTTCCCTGGCTTCTCACTTCCCCGCCCCCAGCAGCCCCGTCGTGGCTGTGTGAATCCCGAACGCCGCGTGCGTGCGCAGCAACAATCCCATAACTTGAAGTTAAGTATAACCGAGAGGAGGGGTCATCTCAGCCCGCAGGCGGGAAGGAGACCCAGATTTCCCAACCATGTCCCCCAGGGAACAGGACCCCTGATCTGGGCCACCTGCGGGATTTTTGTCACCCTTCGAAGGGGAAGCTGGGAGTTCTCAAAAGGCCGTGGTGCCCGTGCCTGGTCCGCCGGGTCCTGAGAGGGAGAGGGAGCTGGGGCCTCCCCCGGGCGTGTGAGCAGCGGGTGTTTCGTGGAGGGGAAGGTCTCGTTTGCGTGCCCGGCTTGTGTTTATTATGGCATCGTCTTATCCCCGCTTTTTGTTGGGCTTTGAGGGCAAAGCAGATGAACCGGTTCCTGCGGCCACATGATTGGAGCTCAGGGCATTTTGCTCCCAAGCAGTCCGACAGTGACAAGGCCAGGGCTATAATCGCCTATGGGCTTTGTCACATATCACACCCTCCTGAGCGTCCAGTGGCCTCCCCACTCCCTGCCTGCCTCCCCCCGATGCAGCCAGCAGCTGACACGATGGGTACGGGCCGTGTCCTTCAGGTGTGTGGGAACTGCTGGCCCCATGGGGTGCCGGGACCGCATCCCCACGTGCGTAGGGCTGACCTCCGTGTCCCAGCACGTGACCCAGGGTGGCCCCGAGGTGTGTGGCACAGAGCGGTGAGCGGGAGAAGTCGGGGTGCTGCCTCTTTCCCAGTGGCTCCAGGATGCTATTTCTTCGGTTTTCCTAGAAAGTTTCCAGAAGACACATTTGCACCTCAGCCCCTGTCTGTTTCCCTGTTTGGGACTTGACGAGCCCGTTATTCCAGGACAGGAAATCGGGGTTTGGGGCTGAGGAAGCCACCCAGGGGCCAGTGCCAGTCTGTGAGCGGGCGCCCTTCCTTTGCCCCGTCCAGCTGCTCCCCCGGGTCACGGGTCCAGGGGCTCCCGTCCTGGTCCTGGGCCTGGGTCCTCAACATGTTGCTCAGAGAGCAGTGGCTCTATGTGGGGCGTGACGGTCAGTGGGTGTAGACGGAAAGCCCCCCAAATTAGAAGTCAGCTCTATCCAGGGTCTTTGGTGTTGTGCCATCCACAGAAAAATGGTCCCCAAAGTCATCTACTCCTGATCCTGGGAACCCGTGACTGTGTCCGGTCACGTGGCAGAGAGGGCTGAGAGTTGCAGATGGAATTAAGGTTGTTAATCAAATGACTTGGGGGTGAGAGAGTGTCGTGGGTTCTCCTGTGGGCCTGTGT